TCGGCTACGTCAGTTGTGTCCATTAGCTCATATAAACCCTAGAGGGAACGGCCCTTAGATCTCGTGTACCGAAGACCTGCTCTTAGCTTTCTGCTCACTTCTGTGCACAAAGAAGCCCATTTATCATGGTGTAGAGATTGTGTGAAATATGTCTTACACTTCTGGTGATAATCGACCAAATGTGAATTTTTTTTAAAAATTTTAACAGGAGAACATAAAATTTTAGAAACTATTTTTCTAATAAATTTTAGTAAGCCTGGCAAATTATAATTGAATGCAGTTAATACTGCGACAGCGTTAATAATATAATTACAGCATTTAGTACTGCAGTAATTGGCAGCATTAATAATAATTGACAGCATTTGATACTTCGAATGAGTTTTGTTTTTCAACTGCTTGGACAACATGTATGGTTCTGATCTAGGAACATCCACTGTCATGGATTCGAAAAATTAATCAAAGAATAGAAACACAGTTTTGCTGTAAAACTGGAAAACAACAATGGAGACTTTTGAAATGTTGTGTAAAGCGTACTGGAATCAAGCGCCAACATGACAAAATATTTTTTCATTGTTACGGATGTCGTGGTGGATGTGATGGTGTTTATGATGGACCCAGGAAAGATCTGCGTTAGCGGTCTCAAACGAATGACAATATCCAAAAGTTACACAGCTGTTGCTGAAAAATTGTCACCTGTCTTGGAATGATTTTATCATCTGTAGAGACACTGCTTACAAAACTGTCGTGGAAGATCTTGATATTCCAAAAGATGAGATCTACAAATTTTGGTTTATTTGAATACAGCAAAGCATTTCAAAGCTATCTAGTGAAGAGAGTGAACGCCTTCGTGAAAAATTTTCAATTCGAAACTGACTTATTTTCATTTTACATAGGATTAAAACCCCGAAAACCAACCATGCAGCCAACATGTTCGCCTGAGCTCGAACTTGGGTCAAACAAGTGACCTCAGCTACTCGTCCACTGGTCCGAAGGTATCAAGCAGCTTATGAAGCATTAGTGATTTTAAGTGTAATTTTTCCTATTAAATTTTATTTGATTTGAAATGCCTTAATCTGCCGTAAACCTTTGCAGAACTTTATTTGAAGATTCATGAAAGTTTTAAAACAATTAACATATGTATTTAGTTTCGTTTTAAATCGATGTAAGCTACACTGCTAAGTTTATCTGTACAACAATATGTATATTAATTATTAAATTTATTTTCATTTTTATAAATATTTTCATAAATCAAAGCTTTTCTTCTCAGCTAAGAGTTTTCTGTGTATGGAAGTGTAAGAAAACTGAAAATTAAATATTTTATATCATAATCATATTATGCATAGTTTAATAATAACCTGAATTAGGTATTATAAAGCAAATTTAAGTCAATTTGGGATTCTTTTGAAATGGTTCCGCCGCGCAGCAGGAAAACTTCGCGGCAGTTTCCGTATTTTCATATTTCAATGTTTGCAGCTATGCGACTGCACCTTTTAGCTGTATTTATTATGGTTATTGTGCTACTAACTTTCAGAAAACGGATGGACTTTAGCTCTGTAAGATATAAAATAGCTTCTTTGTTAAATATGACAGCTGGATCAGTGCTTAAATTGCGCCAGAGCCCACGAGCCCGGCTCCGGTACTTCTTAATTTTTAAGATAAATTACAATTCTAGCCGGAGCGCACCGGAGCCCTAGATAAGATGAGCTCCGATACTTCTTTTTATAAAACTGAACCACAATTTCAAGGGAAAAATTAAGAATTCCCGATATTTTAGTTTAACAATAAGCAGACTTTGCAATACACTGGAAATACGAACTTATGAGAACATGAGACGTTCAAGTAAAGTCCCCTCACTTGCATGCGGAAACTCTTCCCTTTAAGAAGGCAATAAATTTAGGGGAGTTTGTTTCAGAACGCGTAAATTTCTCGCCATGCCATCGTATCTAGTGTATTGCTATCGATGGTTACAGTTAGTTATCCTCACAGGAAGGAAAATTTGTGTTCTTAAAAGTGCGTTAAGTGACAGCGAGTACACTAAGAATGAAATACTGAGATAAACTGCTCAAGCACGTCCTATACATCGCCTTTTCCCCAGTATCCACTAATGTAACCAAATATGGGGGGCGAAAAGCGTAACCAGCAACTTTACATTTATCCTTAGAAGTCAGATCCAGGACTCATTTTCCCCACTGACACACATCTGCTTGATGGCTATAATTATATCAGCAGAGAGCTGCGATCAAAGAAAACGTTCTTTCTCACCAAGATTTCCCTCATTTTTTTATTTCCACCCGCTCATACCCTCACGCCCTCATTCTGTTTCGTCCTGTTTTTAGAATTATCTGAATTTTCATCAGCTATACTTTAAGCATGTTTAATTTTTGTGATGATAAAAGAACTTCTCCCCCTCTACTATCAGAGCTTAAATTAGGCCGGAACCCACCGGATCCCGGCTCCGGTGCTTTTTAGTTTTTGTAATAAATCATAATTCTAGTCGGAACGCACCGGAGCCCTGAATAAGAAAGCTGCGGCACTTCTTTTATGTAACTGAATAACAATTTCAGTAGAAATTTTTATCTCGAATTAAAAACAGCTTATTAAATTTAATTTATCTCTTTACATTTTATTTAACCTTAATTATTTAATTATTTCATATTTAATTAATTATCTAATAATTATCAATTACATTATAATTAATTAATTATACAATAATTATTGATTAAATATCAATTTATAAACATTAATTAAATAGCTATTAATTAATTTGATAATTAACTATTTAATTGTAAAATTATTAATGAGTTTCATAGTAATTTTATTTATTTACTTACTCTTGTTCCTCTTTGCTGACGGTCTTCCATAGGGCTCCAGCACTTCTAAGTTTAGAAATTAACCCTGAGCTGGATTGTATTTAGTTTCTGTATGTTCTTTCATTTCTTTCACCTTATAAAATCCTTGAAAAATGACATCATTCTGGTAAACAAATAGCCGTTATACTTTATATGAATTAAATAATTTGAAAAGTAATATTTAACAGAAGTCCACTTTTATATACTATGTTCATTGGTAAAGTAAGATTTGATTTTTCAAGTTCACATGCATAATAATAAATAATCGGAGAATCTTTATAATTGTCAAACTGATTCATGTAATCATTAATTTACCATTTTCATATGTTCCAAATTCATTTTAAATTTCATTTTATTTGTGGAATCTTATGGTCTCTTACTCCAAAGAAGCTTACTTCAGATCAGCGGGTGTTTTAAATGAATGAAAGTTTTCTTTATTATTTAAAGGACATTTGGTATAATGCAATGTTTATCACGAAAGAGATAGAATTAATTGCTTTTCTCCTGTAATGAGTGGTCAAGGTATGTATAACTGAGCAAAACGGTATCGTAATGGATATATATAATCCTATAGAATAAATTATTTGTGTTGTTGTGCTGTAACTTATCTTACTTGCCTGATAGTAACATCAGAACAAGCCCACGAATTTATTTCATCGTGGCAAGGAGAGCAATATTGCGCCTCTCGTTGGCAAGAGCCTTGAGCACCATACAGGTGGTAGTACGACTTCGCCCAGTTCCGCCCCCAATTTTGATGGAGAGCATGGAGAGCACCCCGGGGGGGGGACGGGTTCGAGGGTCTCCCACCCCCTTTTCCCCTACCACAACCTGTCGAGAGAACGTGCTGCTCGCCATTTATTTAGAGTGCCCCATGCCGTAAAAACACTAAGGATTCGAATCTGGTCCCTCTGGTACTGCATTAGGCTTCCCTAACCATTGTATCATCTAGGCGGCATAAATAATTTATTCCTTAACTGACTTCAAATTGGACAGCCTTTTTGATAGGAAGGGGGAGTAATTTCCTGACTCGTTATTAGGAAAGGGATACCGCAAATTAATCTAGAAATTTTAAATTTAGAATTTTTTAGAAATTAAAATTTTTTTCTTGCCTTATTTACATACGCGCTTAAAAAGATTAAGCGCTACAAGTCGGAAGATGGTAGATTCATTATTTAAATATTCCTTAAAAAAAAGTAGCTATTTTAATATTTTTAAGTAAAAAATTTTAAGAATCGGTTTCACTGTGTTAATTTAACTTTTATGCCTTTTACACAGGGTACTTAAATTACGAAATTTAATTAATTACATTTTAGTTATTACTTATTTCAATATCTAAGATTAAACATAAATCGCATATTGATTAACAGAATCCAAATACTTACTAGTGCTGATCATTTATTGTTATAGGACGTATTTTAATCAAAATTTGTGAAAATTTTGAAGTCTGCAGTAAAATATGCAAAACTAAATTATGGATGCTGTTCTAGAAAGTTTAGTGCGAGTTTAGATTGATGCTGTTTTAGATGGAAATATTTTATAATTAAGTATATTTATTTGCGTGTTGTATGTAAACATACATAAATATGCGCACACACATACACACAAACTGATGTTAAAAATTAAGAGAATAGACATATTTTTCCGAATTAAAGTTTGAAAATATATCGTCAGATAATAAAGCAATAGCCCGCTGGCGTCGAATATGTAATCGCAGATGTGTTTATATCCATATATGTACGTATGTGTAGTGTATATATATACATATGCGTAGTGTATATGTACATATACCGACATATATGTACGTATGTGTGATATGTATATATGTACGTGTGTGTAGTGTATATAAGTACATATGTGTAGTGTATATTATGTACATATACATATATGTATATCATATAGATACCATACATGCAGGTATTAGTACATATAGATATCGCTTTGACAATGATAGTTATAAAAAGCCGTCGTTCCTTCTTCAACTCTTATTCAGTTTTTAAATATCCGCGATAGTCCGTGTTATACTTACAAAATTTTATTAAATTTCACCAACTGTGCGGTTTAAACACCAACGGTTAGGTGACGTAATGAGGTGAAAAATCATTGTTAGCTATAGGAGGCAGGATAATTCCAAGTTTAAGGAGCAAGAGAGCTCAATGTAATGCCTAGTTTGCTGTGAAAACAATTTCAGGAGACAGGATCAATATTCAGACGGCCTGGGCAAGGGCGTTCAAGAGTGTCGATTACAGTGAAGATGGGTATTTGGTAGACAGTCGCCAGACGATTGCTACTGAACCATGGATCTTCCAGTGTTAGCTGAACAAACTTACACCGCAAGAGCAGGCGTGAGAGAATACGATAATTTCTTACATTCGTCGTACCTTTCAAAGCTGACCGAATCCAGGTGGTGCTATATTATCATCCACAGTATTTTAGTTCGGGTACCACTGGTAGAGTCTTTTTTTTTTTTTTTTTTTTTTTTTTTTTGCACCAGGAAAATAAAAATTCATTTCTACCCTTGCCGAGATTCGAAACACGGATCTTCCGATGCTGGATAGGTGCTGTAACCTCTTACACTACAAGAGCAGATACGGGAGAATGCTTACGAGTAGAATTTTATTTCAAGAGTTACTATTTTCAGATGAAAGAGAGCTTGTTGTGAGGAGACCCATGTTTGCAACCCGCTTGCTCATTTACACAAAAGAGTACGTTTAGCGTGATGCAGTGCATATCAGACTTGGGCCGAGCTTCAGTGATCCCATGTTCTCTTCATGATGAGTCTAGATTCAGTCTAACCACTGATTTTCGATGTACCTTCATCTAGATAGAACCACGATAGCAATCCTACAGTATTAGAGAAAGGAACCGCTATGGGGTTGGAAGTATCATGATCACGGCAGGTATCATGTTGGATAACTGAAAATCACTTCTTGTGTTTGGCAAAATTTTCCTGACTGCTGCAAGATATACAGACATGATCCTAGAGCCCTAGGTAAGATTTTTTGGGGCTTAGCGGGCTGTCCTTTTTATGAATGACAATGTTTGTGCACATAGGATTCAATAGGGTGTCCTTTGTGGTGTTATTTAGCGGATGAACTGGCCAACCAGATCTTAAATCCACCTGACTTATCAACTGTTTCAATAACAGTACGACGAACCGCTGTGGTGTCTCTTTGTCTTGTACAGGTGACCACACCCCTATAAGCTCATTTAGACACTGTCTTGCAACATCAGCTTTGGACATTCCTTCTTGTCTTGAGAATTATTCACGATCATGAATGGGTACCTTCACTGTTCCCTATGGCGTAGATAGCTGTTTTATATTTCCTGTTTCCATACCATACTGGATTAAATTATGTTTGGTATTTTTTGGAAAATTCGAAAAAGTGTGTTTATTTTCATGATTTTCACCACAAGCTTTTAAATATATATATACTGGCAATATTAGAATAACGGCATTTTTTAAAGGCTAGATTTAAATCCGAAATTTAGGGCTAACGATGAGCTTAATAGTCTTAAAATGTTGAAAACATTTGTGTTGTGTTCCTGTTGCCCAAAGTATCAATCTTTATCCAAGTAATGAATGAAGGAATTATCCTCTAAGACTGTACGTATAATAGGTGAACTACCGATCCTATTGTATGCCTCCGTGTGTGAACTTTGAAAGTAGTGTCCACGATTTTCCGAAACAATTCACGCTGAAGGACGTCATATTTACTTTGTCTCTTTCCTGGAAGAAATAAAGAACATTACTTTACGTTGTTGGTGGTTTAAATTATGGCCTATGATTATGTTCGTAGATGACGATTCGAGTCACTTACATGTTCAGAGAAATTTAGCGTTACTGAAGTTTAACGGTCCAGACTTGGATGGATGTAGACAATTCTGTTCCCGTCGCGCTCTTTGAAGATGACGACGAAATAATCGGACATGTGTTGGGAGAGGAAGACAAAGAAGACACGCAGAACCAGAAAGTTACTTGGAAGGAAATTGACGAAGAATTGAAGACTTGCATAAGATTTCCTGAGAAATGTTCGTCTATGTCTGTTCATGGATTTTATGAAACTTCATGCTATACACAGCGAATTTTTATAAATACGGCGATAATCTAATAAGCAAGCGTACATTCGAAGTTACATGCCATCAGACTAAGAAATTCATAATTTTCATGTGATAATAAATATTGTAATTTTAACATGCTGTTTAATATTGTTTTTCTGAAATGTAAAATCATGTTATATGTTTTTAATTTTAAATTATCTGTACGATTTTCAGTATTACTCAGTTTTGGCCGATAGATTAAAAACGCTACCGACGGAATTTGTATGTTGCATTTTCTACAGGTGGTATCACAAAACATGAACATGTAAGTTGCTGAAATGTATATTCAGTTATCCGGAAAAACCTATTATCCGGAATCAGCTCAGTCCCTTTGCTGCTGGTTGTTGAAAGGGATTCTGCTATATATGTATATATATATACATATGTTTTTTTCATTATGGTTTGTAACCTGTGTATCTGCATGTGCAAAGTGTTTGATTATTTTGTATTTTTTATTGCAATATAAAATTTTTATTTGGCATTTGAGAAAATACTGTTTTAATAGTGGTTTCAAATCTATTTCATTTAAATTTCAGTGAATTCCTGAAATGTAGAACTGAAGTGAAAATGAAGATGATTCTGTTGTTCTTTTTACTTCTCTGTACCCAAGTACTGAGCCAAATACTTTCAAAACGGAATGATATCAAAGTATTTATTGGAAGAGAGGTACTTATAAAACCAGCTGATTTACAGTTTCAGAATTCAACCCAAGGTGCTGCGTGTAAAGTAGAAGTTGTGACTAAAGAGCCAGTTACCCAACAAGTGGGTGTTCTTAAACCACAGGTATTTACTTCCGGCAGATTTGTTTTTAATTCTGTGATTTATCTTAATTTTATTGCATATAAAAATGAGAATTTATCTGTGTGAAGAAGGCTGAGATACCTGCCTTTTAAAAAGTCATCCATAAAGGCATTTCTTCTAAGGCATTTATCTTGAAGTGTTTTGCTGTAATGAACAATACTTGCCTACTTGCAATGTTTCTGTAATATTTGCCAACGTTTACGGTCATACAGAAAATATGCTCATTTCCACGTATTTTAGAAATTTACTGAGTATTTTCCGCACTTTTCATGATTTTTTTTAAATCAAGGTTTTCTGCATTATTTACAAAGATTTATTGACAAGTCAATAATATTTTTCATATAATTTTGTGTTTTTTAAATCAAAATAGGCTTAATATGTCATCCAAAGAAATAGACTTGATGTATTTTCAACAGAGGGAATTTCTTTGAAAAAGGGATTTCTTGTTCTCACGGAGGAGAGTTTTTTGAACACAGATGGAGAGATCGAACCAACTAGGGCCGAGAATGTAATGTGATCTGAAATAGTTGACTCATTGACATCACATAAAAGTGGCAAAATTGAGATCTATGTTTTTTCCCAGTATTTATTTAATGTAATTTATGTATTAATAAATACTGTAATTGTGATAAATGTTTAAAATTATATGTGCCTGTATACAGAGGGGGGAGGCAAAATGTAAGGAATAATCAAGTTTTCACCTATAGTTTTGAACTGGAATAACTTTGATGTGGGAAAATCATCCATAAGGTACCCCTTGTGATGTGGGGAATGAAGGAAAGAACTATACAGTGACAATAACAGATATAAAATTGAACAAGGATATTTTATTCAGATGTGCTTACACTGCATTGGTTGTGTAAAATGATTCAGTACTTGAAGAAAATAACTTTGTAAGCTTAGTAGTAAACAAATAAAGAGGTTTAAAGTAAAAATTAGCACAGGTAAGCAGAAAATTAAAACTAAGTTTTTATCGATAGCTGTTAAAGTTGGATTGAGCTCCAACGAAACTGCAGACAGCGAGACTTCAAAGATTTTTTTCTTGTTTATGCTTATTTTTGCATTGAACCTTTTCATTTGTTTATTAGATGAATCAGTGTAAGAACTTAAATAAATATAATGTCTTCCTAGATGTATGATCACCTCGAACAGCGATATATGCTTTGCACTGCATGTACTTATTCTAACAAAGTTCTTAACTATTTGTTGCAGTAGCGTTGACCGTGCCTATGCTAATACTGCTTTGAACTGTTGAATAGTTATTGTTGCATGTAAATGTGTCGGCAGGTGTCAGCCCAGAATGTCCCAAATGCATTCAGTGAGATATAAATGGGGACGGGTTATATAAGACTTATTCCATTCAAGCAGTTCTTCCATTACAACTACAGTGCAATTAGTAATCGCCTTATAGACCCATAAAAACAAATTTGGCTTTCAGTGCACCTGAATACAGTGATACACATGGGCAGGACTATTTTATTGTAGTAGCATTCATCAGTTACAGAACCAGCTTCCATTATCTGCATCTTTGTACGCCCATCTAATAAAAATGTCCTTTCTTCGGGATGGAAATGCATAGATATCCATATCTCTATGTTTCAATAATGTTTGCAGTTGCTAGCCGATTTAACCGACATCAAGATTTACTGCAGAGGCTTGGTCTACTCTCGTTAGTGAGTATCTTACTTTATTGCTGTGTTGTCCAGGTTCCATATTCTTTATACGTCTATAAATGATTACAGTAATGGATAGATATATGCTAGCTAAATAATCCGCCATTACGCGAAATGTCTGACCACAGTAAATTACAGTGTCTCACATCCGCTTGCCTGCAATGCTTTCACTATCAGGTATTGGTCTGTTTTGTCCTGTAACATTCTTCTGAAGCTGAATATTTTCATCTACCTGTCATTTAAATTCACCATTAGGAAAGTGTGTGCACATCATAGGGAAGGGAATAATAATAATATGTTCCACCCCAAGTTTAGGCATTACGCATGCTTAACCCTTTACCTCCATATAAGGCGGAGGTAGTTGTGCTTGCACCAAAAGCAGAGAGGAGTATTAATATATCTCACTGGTCACAACTTCTCACTTTCCCAATCTACAGGGCGACGAACTTTTTATTCGAACTTTCTGTAAAGCACTACATCACTACACCAGCTTTCCAAGGTAACCACTGCCTGCCGCACGGAGACCACAAAGAGCGTGGAGCATATTAAAACTGTTGAAAACTGGCTATTGCACTATTCACTTGGATAGTTTATGCCACTACCTTTCGAGACAACGTTGCTACCCTTTTGGATAGCAACAGCCGGGTCTGCGTATTTTATGCCCTCAGAACCAAGTCTGTCAGAGCCAGTATATACGACCTGAGGTGGATAGAGGAAAGAAGGCCACCCTATTCCTACCTCCGTGATGCACGTGCATATTGCAATGATTACTGTGGGATTTTAGTGCTTAGTTTGTTTTGTTTAAGTGGCTGTATTTTGCATTTGGAGTTTTTTTAAGCTGTCATCACACCTGCCTGTAAGTACATGTCGTGAAGTGCTGATTTGTGTATGCCTTAACTTGTTCTATCTTGCGTGCTTTGCCATAATCAAATGAATCCAAACAAACCCAAACTTGTTCTACCTTTAATGCAAGTAACAGGTTTGTTGTGCCCTACCTTCATGTCAAGGAGTTTTAATGGCCAACAGCATACGTAATTACTTTTTAATGTTGTTTATACTATTGCATTCTTATTAGAGTAGTTTTAAAAACTTTATGCATAAGATGAACTGTTCTCTAGACATCTCATTTCCATTTGTAATGCACTCCTTGATAAGACAAAGCTTTGGTTCCGCAAGTATCCGCTTTCAGGTGGCTCTGTTGTAAATTTGTTATGATGTTTTCTTTCGTAAAATTTTGTAAAATTGAGAGAAGGCACTGCTTTGCAATAAAAGTGTTAATGTCTCTAAGTGATAAATATTGTGAATAAAATTCATAAATGAAAAATGCATGCAAATTAATATTTCATATATTATTACCGGTTCATTTATTAGTTTATATTTTTGTTTCAAGAAGCATTTAAATGCATTTTAATAATTTACAGATGGCATGGACTTACGTGCTTACACAGTCACCAACCCCTTGTTGTAAAGAACTTAAAAGATAATGTAACAAACTAAATTCAAAGGTAAATAAAGTACAAGACTACATAGTTCGATTTAACTTAGCAGACTCAGAAACCTACAACGCCAAGATACTTATTTCCATGGCAAGAATGCAAAACCGAGATTCACAATTGAACAGCTGGCAGAATTGACAATGTGGGCTTTGAATAGCAAAACGACACTCTAAGTAACCTTTCTGCTACTCTTCATTTGAAGTACTCTGAACATATTTACATCCTCGCGAGGAAACGCAAGAGAAATCAGAAGGAACAGGAAAGGCTAACAAATTAAAATAACTATTAGTAAATATAATATACCTCACATCTTTCCCCACCAGAAGTTAGCTGTCGTCAGTAAAAGGTCTTTAATGACCTTGATAAAGATAATTAAATTCTAAATCTCACACTGAGCCAATTATCACAAATTTCAAGTCTTCAAATTAATTGAATGCTTTTCAGGGACGAAATATCTCAGCTTTTCATTACATACACAGCATTCTTCTTAGTAATGTTTCCTCTTGTCTCCGTCCATTCCTCTGGAAGGAAATTAGTTTAGAACAAGTTTAATGCATTTAACATATTCACTTAGCTTTAGGTTTTACATAAATAGTTTTATTTGCATTCACATGGGGGAACTTTTGTTCACTACATTCTTTCCAAATTTTAGATGTCCGCTCTGCTGTCGAGCAAGATATTCAGAGATGAGAGCGTGTGTTCTTGTAAAGCATGTTCAACACTACAACCTAACAAAACAGCCTGCATGTTAGAATGTTGCCATATTAAACCTCAGAAATACACCCAACATTCAATTCTCAGCCCTGAGATGCTAATTCAAATGAAAAATTAAGTATAGGCTGGAGAGCCTAACTGTAAATTTCATGCATTCTTCATCTACCGTAATTTCCAGAAGCAGAAATTACGGTAGATGTTTGATGATGGAAATTACGATAGATGTTTAAAACTTAAATTTTCAGCGGGTTTGTTTAAAACTTAAATTTTGTTTAAAACTTAAATTTTCAGCGGGTGCGGCGTTTAGGTGCACTAAAAATAAAATATTTCCTATGATGGTCATTGTACATAGTTTGGATGGCCTTGTCATTGTGCATAGACTGGTGCTGTTCCCACACAAAAGACCACTCAGTTGCTTTTTGCGAACGTTATTTTGTTTACATTCTTTCCCTTGAACGGACCTACATGCCTTATTCACCCTAAATGAGATCTCAGAACAATAACATTCTTTCCCCTTTCAAATCAACATTCTTATCAGTTTGAATAGTCTCTCTCCTCTGCCATTCGCTGAATCTTCCAGGGCCCATCCTCTCCCCACCCCTGCCTTTTCTGCAATTTTTTTCAAAGTCGGACATGACTCCGCTAGCCTCGCAATAACGAACTCTGACATATTTCCCCTTCAGCATGAATGGATTTTTCTTGGCATTCTGCCAAATACAGATCGCATCAGTTTGGGTTCAAGTACTTGTTGGATAGTTTTTAAGTAAGAAGTGAGCGGAAAATTTTTGAAAATGTCTCTAAACGGCACAGAAGCTATACATTTCTTACCTTTAATTTATTTTTGAGTATGGTTTCATTTCATGCATTTTTCTTAACGGTATGTCATATATCAGGACTTAGGTTGAGTTTTTGCATCTATATGCCCACGACGATGTCATGCGCAATTTAATCTATTGCGGCGTTACGCTGATGCGGCGTTTCTGTGTAATTTTATTTTTTTTCCCGCTATTTTTCTCGAGTGCGGCGTTTACGCTGATGCGGCCTTTCTTCCGGAAATTACGGTAGTTTTAACTTTCAACTTAAATTCTACTGTTAGCTT